TCTTTTATTTTGAGAAAAAAATAGAATGATTAAGATTGTGTGTGTATATATCTTTGTATTCAATAATTAATCAATTTTTAAAATTCTAAATTGTAAGTTATTTCATTTATGATGAATTAGTTCTTTTTATAAAATAATTAAGTTTTTCCGAGTTCTTTTTATCTAGAAATTTTGTTTACTTTTGAAGGTTATGGGATGAATTTGTCTAATTTTGATACTCTTGGGATATAATTGATTTTTAAAAGGTTGGGATGAATTAACAAATTACTATAAACGTTGTGATATATTCACTCATTCTCCATTGACTTTTAGTTCATTGTAATAAAATTATAAATTTAAACTAGAAAATAATTTTGAGATAATAATTAATAAGTAGTCAATAAAAGAAAGGCCCAACTAGATCCTCTCATTTTGGACTTCAAATCGTGTTCCACCTGAACCCCATATACAGATATATTACAATGGATTCAGTCGGTAGAGGGGGCATTTAGATGGAACAACAATTTTGTAAATAAAGCAGTTAAAGGAAAACAATTAAAGGCTCCTTCCTCCGTGTTCATATCTTTTGGTGACATTACAATTTTTTAATTAATAAGCTTTCTTAAACTCAAAATGACAGATATATTACTGAGTGTTGGGAATTACTCGCTCCGGTCCTTAATACAAAATATTTTGATTTGTTCTAATTTTTATCTAGTACACATTTTTAATTGACAAAAAAACTTAAAAAATGCGTATTAAGTAAAATGTAAGACAAATTAAAATGAATTATCTTAAGGACCAAAGGGAGTAGATCCTAAGTTTTGCTCTGAATTCCTCCGTCCGGAAACCTGATTTTGGCCTCGGTGTACGAGGATAATCCAGCAGGCTAGATTGTTAGCCTTCAAGTCGTGGCGGATCGTATCAAATCTGAATATCTTAAGGATTTTGATGCCAGAGGCTTTCTTGTTCAAATAGAATGTCATCACTGGCTTTGTACCCAAAAAAAAAAAAAAAAAAAAAGAAAAAAGAAAAGAAAAGAATGTCATCACTGGCTAAATGAGATTTTGAATCTCTTTTTAACAAAAAAAAAAGATTTTGAATCTCTCGGATAGGGGCATTGTTGATGGGCTTCTGGGAAGAGGGCGAAGAAAGCGGTTTCTTGTTGATGTTTGCCGCGAGTAGTTTTCATGTCTTCTGGAGTCTGGACTTGGTAATACAACTCGATATAAAACCGTTGGAGGAAGGTGTTAGACACGATAGAAGTAACGTTGAAGTAAAACTTTTGCCAACTCTTTTGATTTTGTTCTTATATTTAAATGGTATCCATATAAGATATTTCTTTCGTCCCGAAACAATTCACTTCGTTTTAGTTTTCTTTCCGGTCAACATAATATAAAAGTTTGAGAAGTGAAAGGCTTATTGTATGAAGAGGTGAGATGATGAATGACTAGTAACTGAGCATTTCCATTCCAAGCTAGACCGCAGGGCAATCATGGTAGTATTAGTATGAACATAGTACAGTATAGTACTTCTCGTACAACCATCTTTTTCAAGTTTAGTTTCCTCCCAATTTCTTTTCTTTTTTAAATTTTTTTAACTTGGATGGATCCACTTCAGTAACAATCAAGTAGACTTTGATGAAAAACAATTCCGTTTCATTTCTCTTATTTTTTTGCCAAAGATTGCAAACGGGCACAAAAAGAAAGTACAACTATAAAGTCCATCCAAACGGTACCAATTACCAAATCAATTTCTGGTTAAGAGTAACTGGCAAAGGGATTGGCCATGGACAATCAAAACCTTGCTGCATTGTCCCAGTTCCAACAATTTAATGGTGTAGCAAGCAAGATATAGGCTACGGAATTCAAGATACTCTGACTATTGTTCAGCTGTTCATAACTCAATAATTGGATGCTCAAAACTAGCTCACTGATTTGATCAAAACAGTGATACCTTCTGGTTTTGGACTCAAACCGTATTCAACCAACCCCATCAGTTGGTAACTTGGTATCATACTGAAAGGCCCATTTTGATTGAAAAACTAATAAAACAAGGGTAATGTTAAATGTAGCCTATATTATACTACGATAGAGACAATGAAAACTCACAGTGACTGATATATATAAATTAATTAAAGGCAAAAATATCAATTTAATAGAGAAAGATATAAGTTCTACGGCAAAGTGCCACCAAAATAAGAGGCCAACTAAGTCACTATATCTTTTCACTATATATTTGTCACTATGCATATCATTTTCCATTATACTAGGTGATGTATAAATTATTATTAGAGCAATGATACACGTAGTCAGTAGTGCCTATTCATAGTGAAATGGAATGGTGACTAATTAAAAGACAAAAAAAAAATTACACCACTCTCCCAATAACTACCAATAAAATGGTGAACCTGGTTCACCATATATGGTACACCTATTTAATTAATAGATCTAATTATGAAATGAAAATTAATAAAAATATTATTGAATTGATTCATTCTCCCTCATGATTATTACATGTAATTATGAAATATCATGTTTTCAAATATAAATATTCCAATATCCCGGCCTCTCACTTCGTTTCGTTCTTCTTCTGTACCGTCGTTTGAATGAAGACACCCGATTGGGCCGACTTTCCCAAATGCCCACCACCGGCCCTTCTCCTTTCTGCGTCTGTATTTCTTGCGTCGTTTCAGTCGTCGTGGTCGACGGGGAAGAAAGAAATGAATGAATGTTCTTTTGGGAAAATGTAGAATAATACACCTACCGAGACGGAAGCCAAAGTTTAGTCTCGTTGGTGGACGTATCGAACCGAAATAAGATCTCAGATTGACATCTTGATACACTAATTTACCATAATAATAAATAGAGTCAATGGGTGACTCCGCCGTGGGAAGAGCCGCTTCCTTCTTGCTTGATAAGGGGGGCTTCCATTCACCAACGCAGACTAAAAGTGTCTCCGAACCGTGCGGGATAGTCACCCATCACACGGCTCTCAAACCCAACCTGTGGTGGATCCCGGGAGACAAAGTAAAAGCGTTTGGTCTTTTGCCCTATACTTTGAGATGCTCCTCCCCGCCGATCAAGGCCATTAAGGTCTCTTCTTTTCATAATTACTAACGTAATTTGAAAATTAGGAACAATTTAAATATAATAAAAAAATCATGAAATTTTGATATATATATATATATATCTATGTCATGAAAAATATTGTTCTAATTCATGAATATTTCATGGAATGAGTATGAACTATGAATATAAGAATTCCTAAATATTTTATTAAATAATTTTATTTTGAAAATTTGCATAAACATTATCTCATATGGGTATGCATATGGTCTTTAAATTTTTTATTTGTATTAATCTTCCAATTATCAAGAAAAATACTGTGAAACTTGGATACACTTGATATGAAAAGTATGACAGTTATTCATAAACATTTCATAAAAAGAGTATGAACATTTATTGTGCACGTGATTAATTTATTGAAATTTCTCTAATTTGTAAAACTTGGATACACTTGATATGAAAAGTATGACTGCTATTCATAAATATTTTATGAAAAGAATATGAATATTAATTGTATATGTGATTAATTTATTAAAATTTCTCTAATTTGTATGAACATTTCACTAATCTTTATGAACAGTCATAGTAAATGTATGAATGGAGTATTAAATAGATGAAAACCTTTAATTTGTGATTATGTGTATAATTTTTCAATCAAAAGCTATGAATTATATATATTTGATATGAAAGATATGATCGTCATTCATGAATTTTTCATTGTATAATTATGAACCTTTAGTTTTTGTATGAATAAGATTATATTAGTTTCTTTTTTTTTTTGTTTTTTGTATTTTTTTGTAATTACTTTGGCTTGAATACATGATATATGTTAAATATGGAAAGAGAATTGAATAATTTAATACTAGTAATATTTTCATTAATTATTTATTCCTTAAATAGAATTCATTAGTTAGATCAGTAAACCATATATGGTGAACTATGGTGCACCATATAAGAATTGGTGATTATATATTTATACACGTGCCACATCAATCACTATTTTATTTCACTATACATTTTCATTATCTATATTATTTTCCTTATTATTATTTTGATGTACTTTCAAGAACTTTAAAAATAAACCTTCAAAATCCTTTTTACAAAGCCATTAAAATTTCACCTCAAATTCCAATTAATAAATGGAAAACTAAAAAATTAATATGTATAAATAATTATTAATAAAATAAAACTTAATTAGTAATAAATTTATTGAAACTACTAAACTAATTCAATATAAATATATAATTTATTAAAGTTACCTTTTACAATTATAAATATCTATAATTAATAAAAAAATCTGAACTACTAAGAAATATAAAAATATTGCTATTAATTAATTTAATTTATTACTTAACAAATATTTGGAAAAAAAAAGAGCTTACGACAAAAATGGGAGGGCGCACGATAGGCTGTGCGCGTTTGTGATTGGAACCAGTAGTATGAAATTATATGGAAACTCCCATTCTTCGTCCATTTCAATAAAGTTAGAAGACCATTTGTTTTGCATAGTACAGTGTGTTTTGGTTAATGTTACATTATAGTCTCTTCGTCCCAAAATTATTGTTCAGTTCGAGTTTTTATTTTTAGTTCAATGCTTGAAGTGGAGAAGGTGAAGAATTTTCATCATTACTGGGATTGCCAAAACTTGTTCAAGCAATGTCTAATTTGCCAAATGGAAGACACAGATGATTTCAAGAGATACAACTTGAAATGCCAAATCAAGTCTTGATTTGCTATGTACTATAGAGAATTCTTGAATAGCTTGTCATGTTATTGGTTGGCCTCAATAATCTGTGCAGGTATTCAGAGCCTAATAGCTGCTGTTGTGCTTTTTTTTTTTTTTTTTTTTTCCCTTCTATAAACTACTCAAAATGTTAATGTAGGCCTACATCAACCGTATTTACAAGCTTCACTCCAATAGGAAAAAACTACAGTGAAGACGGGAATCTGATTTTATAGGGTGATCTCTTTGATGGGTTCAGTGTATGGATCAGTCCAACAAGAGTCCTCCTCCACTGCTTTCATCCATCTCCTTCTGAATACCTTATACTCTCGGAAGGACTGTCTTCTTACCTGATAATTAAGTAATTATTGTTAGTCGATACAATTTGAGAGCTTGATGATATCGACGTCTCAAAGTAAGAGCCATGTTTGTTGAACCCCTTTTCACCTCAAACAAATACGACTCTTGTTTTGGGAGCGAGATTAAAAAACATATACTTATTAAAAACAAGAAAGCTAAATTGTGAACTTACTTCAATTCTAAAGTTGACTACTTTAGGAGGGGGTGATTCCTGCCGTTCACATAAGACAAACATTGATCAAAATTTGGTCTTAGGTATGCAAGAGCAAGAAAGATCTAAGGTAAGAAAAGGTTACCCGTGGTTTCATCTTCTCCAAGTTCGTCATTTCAGGAGCATATGGCTGCACAGGACAACCACGGTTCAATTACTATTTGTCCATTTGTAGCATTGGAGAAAGTATTACTAATTTTTAACTAGGTTGCAGATGCCCTAGAATACATGCAACAATCCAGGGAAAATGACAACATACAATGCCTGATAGAATATGAAGTTATCAGCATCTTCCTGTAGTAAATCAGCTAACTAGATGTCTTTTCAGACAACGAATTTGCAATTAATTTTGTCTTCCACTCATGCTGGAGAACTGCATTTTATCTAGGATCAAGATGAGTTGGAATATATGCAAGGAATCAGGTGCAATACTCAAATTCCATAATTATATAGGTTTCTTTTCTAAACATCAGCTTGAAGGGATGTTGCTTACTCTCTTGAGTAATTGAGGTGATATCCACAAAACTAAAGTTAATATTCAGTGCTTAGTGTGACAAATTTCTTTTGGCAAATTGTAAAGCAATCGAAAGGGGATAGGCAATTCCAGCAGCAACTACATGGTTTCCCAGTAAGAAAAGCATCTGTGTTACCTTCATCTCAGGCTCTCCAAGTGTAGGAAGGCCATAATGTACAATATATTCGGCATCTACCACACCAATTTTTTGTGTTCGGTCCCCCTGTCAAATCGAATAGGCATCAGAGGAAGAGAAAAATTCAGTGAAACATCTATAGCCAAGTTTAGGAGATTGCCTGTGCACAATAGCCAAGGTACATGTCTAAGCCCCAGGCATGGATCAAATCATTCTGTGATGAACACGAACAGAAGACAAGTGTCAAATACACGAGTTTTAGCTGAAACAGTGATCAATATATGTAAATCCTAGTTTTGTTGCATGTTAGTAGTGGCTTCAGTGCACCAATCATGCTTTACCGAGTTTGAGTTAGGAACCCTGCTTGATCATATACAATTTGAGGGAAGTATGTGTCAACTCTTTCGCAGCATTTTGCTTTGTATTACTAATTCAATGATCTTATAAAACAAAGCGATACTGCTAATTCTTCATTAATAATAAAAAATCTATACATTCATTTCAAATGGTGTAAACCTGGATCATATACCATACGCAGCGCCACGCAGCTTTTGAAAAAACAGGAGCCATAACTTCTATCCACCTGCAAAGCAAATAAACAAGTTCTAAAATTCTTCAGAATCAATTCAAATAAGAGTGACGAATATCTGACAAACAGCCATAAGATGGAGCTTTAGAGCAGTTTCAAATAGATACAGATGAAAGGACTTCAAATCTAGTAAGTATCAAATTTCTACCCCGTGCAAGGAGGAGCCGAACTTTCATCATCACATCCAGTTCCGTTACCACCCTGCTTGTACATTCTCCTGTCAAATAGAGGATAAATAAAGTATACAGATTTCAGTAAGTACAAATTTAGCTAGGTAGCTCAGATATGAGCAGAATATTGGGGGGGATGGGGAACGCTAGAATAGGAAAAACCTGTGCACATTTGATCTTCCACGTGCAGTAATTTGATGATGCACCTCCGATCTGCTAACATCAAGTGCTGGTTGTGATATCTCAAGCCCTTCTTCCTTCACAATTGACAAGTACCTGCATGCATAAAGATATTTGTTAATTGTTACAGATCTTGGGTTTGCTTTAAAAAGTTCATAACACCTTCCTATCTCCTTTAACCTTTAAATCAAAAGAATTCTACCACTCTTGTTGAATTATGGCAGAATTTGATGAGATAATGACACCTTTTGGTCTATTGTATTTTTAGTATATCTTTCTGATAGGAAATCTTCTCTTCAATTTATTTACTTTAAGAAAAATGTTATATGGGCATTATGCAGCACAGAGAAGAACAAGTGAGCTGATGCTGCAGAGATAGGGGGACTTTTCCCCTTTGAAAGCGGCAATACTTCTTAATAAGCCTCGCATACCTCTCAGGGCTGAAATCTTCCACTCCAATGTCTTCATCCCAGAGGAAAATGAAGTCGTAATCAGCTACAATGTCTGGATGTAGAAACCTTTTGGCGAACCACCTGTTTTTACAATCTCATTAACACATACCATCAAGAAACAATAAAGTCCATGTTTTTATTCAACTGCAAATTGGAGCTTAATAAGAATTACCAGAACAACGTAACATTTTTCAAATTCTAAGCTAAGAAAAATTGTCAATGTTGTCATCCGGCAAATAATCGTATCTGAGGCAACATACCATTTTGTTTGGTTCAGAGCAGATACGTGTATAACTCTATCATTCCATTCAAAATCCTTCCATCCATCAACAATACCATCATAATGGAAAAGCATCACAGCAAAATTGCTTTCCACGAACTACAATTTGATTAAAATAGTATAAAACCTCACTGTTAATACAATATTAAGAAAGAGCACAATATAGTAGTGTAAAAGAAACACACAAAACAGAAATCTCTTACCTTCTGCACCATCTTGTCCACTGTCACTTTTTGTTTTATTCCAATGGCAAGAGCGAACAAACTTCTTGAAGAATTCAGTTTCTGTTGGAGGATACGGTTCAATTATTTCAAGGTGTCTTTCTTAAAGAATTAACTCTTAATTGGTCACATCAGTATTTCACTCAACAGTTCCATAAATATTGAGGAATAGTGCATTGGTTCAGTTAAAGTCTCAAGGAAGATACCTTTGGCGAACCCCATAATGGTCGTCTTTCCAGGTTGGAAGTCTTTGCAATGAAACCTTTAGGCAATGGCTCACTTCCTGGAGGCCTGCATTGGTTCTAAAACAGATGATACAAATTACATTCTGGAAGACTTGACTGTAAATACCCCCACTAAAAGGGGAAAACCAAAATGATTCTTAATGTTTCCAACAAATTGGCCTTCAAGAAAAGCATACTTCAAACCCTGTAATAGAATACAAGAGGCATCCAACAAGAGTGACCAGAAAAAATGATCACCAGTCTAAGAAAGAAAGAAAGACAAACCTTACATGTAGACTCTTGAAAGCTCTCCTCCAAATTCCATTTCAAAAATTTCTGCATAAGGAATCCCAACATTATCTTAAGAACTCTGAGTTTCTAAGCCCAAATAAAAGGCACTGCATGCATCCAGGACAATGATAAATTTTAGCGAGATTCAAACTTCATGTACTACTGAATTTGATTAGTTTCATCAAGTGGATCGCAAAAATTGCAATGCATGATAGTCCCTAAGTATAAATTTAATTTACCTTGAGAGCAGATAATATACTACATTATACAGTAAATTAACTCTTAAAGATGAAAACCTGTTTGCTTTGTAAGGCTATAAATACGCTCCCTGCTACGAGCAAGAGAAAGAACAGTGTAGCAACAGGTAAGGGGCTGCACAGCCATGATCTTCTGTGCTTCGTATCTCTCGGCAATAATCCCTGATAGATATAGAGGTAGCACTGTTATTACAGTGAAATATTGCACAAGAATATAGTTATTAGTCCTGTGATAATGAACAATGCAAATACACACACACACACACGAAAGCCAGACACAAGTGAAAATTCACTTCATTCATGTTTTCATATCATTTGATCTCATTCATTTACATACCATAACACATCTCAAGTGACCATACCTAAAGCTGAAAAATAATTGAGATTTAGAAACCTCCGTTCAATCTGAAAACCTACAAACTTTCATTCATTACTTCCCCATATTTCTAAAACCGAAAGAATCGTTACCAACAAAAAGGCCAAAAATTCAAAAAATTTTACTGACCATAAAAAATTCTTGAGAATGCACATTGTACACATTCAATGAAAAGAACATACTTTGTCATCAAAGTAAAAAAGTAAGGAAAGAAATGAAAGAATCTGGTAACCTCCATAGTGTCTACACCCCTCAAAACAGAACAAATAATAAATAATCAATGCATGCAAACGTGTTTTGAGTTGTTACAATAGAAAGCAGTTTTGCAACATAAGTACAGAACAGAGGAGGAAAAAAAAAATCAAACTTACAAAGCTAGAAGAGGACTTCATCTTTTTGTGAAAAATCAACATGTATGGTATTATTGTTGTTGTAGGCCAAAAAGGAAAAGGAAAAAAAAACAAAAAAAAAAAAAGCCAAACCCGTATCTACAACAACAATTTTACGTCTTAATTTCTTCTATAATCTCAAAATTAAAAAATCCCTGCAAACATTTCCTCATTGGTTAACCATACTTTTTTGAATTGTATAGCATGTGAAAAGAAGGAAAAAAAATGGAAAAAAACCCACACCAAAGTTTAAGTGCCTAAGGAAAAAAAAATTAGTATGTTAATTGGGAGAGATGATCATTGGTGAAGATATGATGATAATGGAGAATCTGCATGTGTGTGTGTGTGTGTGTGTGAAGAAGTTGCATCAAACGGGAAGAAGGAAGAAGGAAGGAAATGATAGGGAGAGAAAACCGTAGTCTGCGGGGAATCATGGAGGATATAGCGGGTTAGTGCTTCTTCCCTAAATTTATGTTTTTGTACATATTATTAATTTTGTTTTTTTGTTTTTTTCCTTCAAAAGAATTAATCTTCAAATTAGTAGCCTTTTTGCCATTAATTAATTAATTCTATCGCAAGTGAACCTTTTAAAGTAAATTGTAGTGGCATCATGAAAACATTAGAGAAAAGTATCATCTCAAGCATTTATTTTTTCATTTAGTGTTTGATAAATTATAAGTTTAATTTTTTTAAGTCATGGTTTGTTCATGTGAATATCTTTGATATGGTAAGAGTTTGTAGTTGCTTCATATTGTCATATTCTTGTTGATGGACATGTAATTTTGAACGACAATATAAAGGGAATGATCCTGAAAGATCAATTTCCTTGTTCACATAATGCAAATAAATCTTCAATGATCATCCAATAGCAAAATACGTATCTTTTATTATTACACTCAACATCCTCAGACTTTATTTGTTCAGAAATTTTTAGTTGAATTCAATCCACAATTCCAGATAGTCGTTACCATTTAAGGAATTCTTTTTTTTTTTTAGTTTATTCTCACCAAAGGATACAACATCAGAAAAGGGAAAAATGAGAGGGGATAAAAGTGATTATAAATAGTACTAGTAATATTAGTATAGGCCTTTAGGGGCGAATGTTGAAATAAAACCAAACAGTCCTTAAAAATAACATTTGTACATGTTTCACTGCTTTATCCATTAACCTTCCCGTCATTCATCTTCATCCCCTCCTTTCTCAAGCTCCATTTAGGCAGAGATTTATTATTATAAAATTTCCCTATTCTCCGGTTATATTGAGTTGAATATTAGTCAGTTACCTTCTCTTGCAGATTTCTTGTTTAACTTCAGCTAAGCATCTCACGGTGTAACCAAACACATGAAAATATTTAGATTCTTCAGAATCGTACTCTCAGGAATAAAAATAAAATAAAATAAAATTCATCAAAACATCAATTGAATCTTGAAGTAATCAGTTTATGATATGATCTTATATTCCTAAAAATCCTAGTTGCTAACCTCTCTTCCTTCTACAGATAGAAGGTGAGATGGGTTCGCATGTTAACAGAGACCAAGCCCCAATATTTCCAGCCACAATACAAATAAACGATATCTTTTTTTTTTTTATCAAACGGGTGGAATGACACAAGACTTGTCTTCAGGCTGCATCCCTCAACCTGAGAGAACACAAGTTCAGAAGCCGGGATTTGATGTTGGATGCACCATTTGTGGTTCTCCTCCTGGAGCTCCCACATTCTCAAAGTCCTTGTTTGATTAGAAGCTCTTGTAATTTCAAAATACCTGAGACGTCTTTCAATGGGAACCGCTCTACACAAACTCCATCTCTCTGTGTAGCCCCTGAATCAGATGGAAGCTCAATATCAATTTTTGGGGATTTAAGTATGGATCATAGACCATGATTCGGCCTCGACATTCATCTTCTCTAACCAATAAAGAGTGTCATTCAGAACAGATGCTCTTCCCATGTATGGGATTCCAACCGGAAGATCACAACACACTTGAAAATCTTTCCATTTCCCTGTTCCCGAAGATAACAACTGCATCTCAAGGATATCTCGGGGGCCCGGTCGAGAATTAACCAATATGACTTTATAACCAATCAAGACTCCCCTTTCAACCTTGGCAAATAAAACCTGCATTCTTTCTTGGGTAGGAGAGAGTATGCGAGGGAAGCGTAAACCATTGTTTGGCGAGAGGATTACAAATATAGTGTTCCTCATAATAGTTAACACTGGCAGATATACCATTTCTCCTAAGCAAAAGAAATCCTTTGTCTGCTGTTATTATAGCGCATGACTCCCGAAATCTAGCATATGTAGCATCTTCTTCATCTACTACTCTTACTTTCAGTATACTCGGCAAACTAAGAATACGATAAGGTGGACAATTTTCAGCTTTAGTTCGGATGCTTGTATTAGGATCATGTTTACCACCAACCAATCTAAGTATTATTGAGTAAAATTCAAATCGGCAGATTGGGGGTGAGGATGCCGAGAGAAATATAACCTAGGAAAACCAGGATCGGAGATAAAAGCCATTGTCTTGAGATACACAAAAACCTGAACACATCTTTAGCAGGAAGTCTATACAACAATTCAGACAAAACCCACTCCGGCATGTTACTATCATTGCTGTCATCCATGGGTAAACTTCTTACGTGAGTAGTAGCAAGTATCAGCCTAAAAGTGAGCTGCACGCTGGAAAAAAAAAGTAACAAATTGATATGAAAAGCAACCCTGGAAACTAAAAATGTCACCGAGTTATCAAGACATTGTAGCTCTCTTAGAAGCCACGAGTGAATACCATAATTGCACTCTTAGAAGCAAAAAATCGAACACTTTACATGCATAGATGGCACCATAATTAGGAGAAAATATCATCTTTCATAGTACCCACAACACAAAGAAACAACAATCTGGTGTTGCTCGGTTTATAATCGACTAATTTAGGGGAAATTAGCAAGGCTAAAACAAATCAAAGCTATGCAATTTTAACAACAGAGAGCAAAGACGAGACCACAGATAAATCAATCAAAGAAGAAGTAGACACCAAAGAGCATAGATAAGTCGCTCATTTTGCGAAAATGTAATTGCTCATGAATTTTGCGAAAACTTGTATTGCGAGGGAGACATTTTGGTAGTCTGCTGCGGATGATTATCACTCAGTACTGGCTGATTCCAACGTTTTATAAAGTATTTTTTTCTCAACAAAAAAAAAGAGCATAGATATTCCGACCTTCGCGCAGCTGATTTTGAGCCGCGAGGCGAAACCGAAGACGGAAGATTTTGCTCATCAATTTGGAATAGATTTTGTAGAGTCGCACGTTGTGCAATAATACAAGTTGCGCGTTTTTCTCAAAAAACTTTCGGAAAAAAACAAAATAGATATTAATTTACAAAAAGGTCAAAAATAGGTATTAATTTACAAAATGCTACTCCCTTTGTCCCAAAATTATTATCCAGTTTGAGATTTCACTTTAGTACAATTTGAACTAGAAATGAAAACTCAAATTAGACAATAATTACGAGACGGAGAGAGTATTATCTCTCGGAAAATGTGCACTACAAAAAAGAATAATAAAATCACTCAGAAAGCAAAATAACTTTTTTTAAGAAGTGTAATGGTGTAGCGGATCTTTTAGCAAAAAAAAGGTTTAGGTTTAAATTGTGGGTTTTATATTTTGGCAAATCTCACTGATAAGCTACAGAGTAGTCTTTTGTTAGATAGATCATCGTCTCCTTATCTAAGGGGAGTGTAATCCTTTTGTACATTAAGCAGAACTGCTTCCGCCTTATATAAAAAAAGAAGGGGTAAGGACAATACCCCCCTGAGTTTTGTCCCAAACCCTAAAACCCCCTGAGTTTTATGAAAGGACAAGTACCCCCTGAGTAATGTTCATAACACCATTATACCTCCTTTGACACGCAAAAAGACCAAAATACCCTCAATACGCGTGGGGCCCAACATTTTTTCCTATTTTTTGCTTTATTTTTTAATTTTTTTCTACTTTATTTAGTTTAATTATTTTTAGTCCAGTTTTTCTTTCTTTTCTTAAAATTTTTCTACTTTATTTAGTTTAATTATTTTTAGTCCCCTTTTTTTTGTTTTTTTAAAATTATTCTACTTTATGTAGTTTAATTATTTTTAGTTCAGTTTTTCTTTATTTTTAATTTTTTTTATTTTATATTTTAATCAAAAAATAAATACAAAATATATTTAGTTAATTTTATTCCAAGTTTATAAAATCATATTTCTTGTTATTGTTGTTTTTTTCATTTTTCTTTAAACTATAGATATCCCTCATCAGGTTTATCAAGTAATTAATTCCGTTGAGAGATATCTAGAGTTCAAAGTAAAATGAGAAAACAAAAATAGTATGAAATATGATTTTACAAATCTGGAATAAATTTAGGCAAAACTAAATATATTTTCTATTTATTTTTGGATTAAAAGATAAAATAAAAAATTTAAAAAGAAAGAAAAATTGGACTAAAAATAATTAAACTAAATAAAGCAGAAAAGAAAAAAAAAGAAAGAAATTACATAAAGTAGAAAAAAATAAAAAAAGAAAGGAAAACTGGACTAAAACTAATTAAACTAAATAAAGTAGAAAAAAGCAAAAAAAATTGGAGAAAAAAATTGGGCCCCACGAGGATTGAGGGTATTTTGGTCTTTTCGGTCAAAGGAGGTATAATGGTGTTATGGACATCACCCAGGGGGATAATTGTCCTTTCAAAAAACTCAGGAGAGTTTAGGGTTTGAGACAAAACTCAGGAGTAATTGTCCTTATCCCAAAAAAGAAAGCAAAATAACATTATCCGTTGCCTTTCCCGCCATCATCACAAGAGATACATTCATCCCCACTCTTCACCAGCTCCATTTTCACCCGAGTCATTTTCTTCCGCTTGGAGATTCATAAAAAAAATTTCCACATTCTTCAGTTATAAATTGAGTTGAAAATATTAGCCTATTTCCTTCTTCTGCAGATTTATAGTTTAATTGCGGCCAGTTTAATTGCGGCCGAGCTACCTACAGTGGGATTTTTTGTGCAGGCTACCTGTTCGACAAAATGCGCGACTCAGTTTGAAGTTCATCTTTGTTCACCAGGTATAGATGATCATCGTATGAGTAGCCTTCCTTATCATCCTTCATAAGTTTTGGAATATGATTTCAACTCTACCCCACAAATCTTGTTTTCCATTTCACTCAGAGTTCCTCCCACCTCTACATATCAATTTTAGTTCTGATCACAAACGTTATCACGGAAACTTTCTACCATTTAAACCTATGAAAAGTACCTCCTCCGTTTCAATATCTTGTACTTCAAATCCTCTGAAAATTAGACGTGATCCCTCCTTGGATAAGCATGTGGTGAAGCAGAACAAAATCCGTTTTGTTCAGAAGCTGAAAACCCTGCTGCTCTCCAAACCCAAGCACTTCATGCCGCTCTATATCCTGAACAAGTGCAGGTCCTACTTGTCATTCCCTAAGCCACGTTCTATTCTATCGATGGTCCACCGTTATCCCACTGTTTTTGAGGTATTCACTATTCCAACACCACCGTTGCCTTTAAATGCCACAAAACCACTTAGCCAGGTCTGTATTCGCCTCACCCCTGCTGCAGCTGAACTTGCACGCAAAGAAATTGAACTTAAGAAGGTGATGTCTGATTCGTTGGCTATTAAGTTACAGAAGCTTTTGATGCTTGCTACGCACCATAGGCTTCTTTTGTATAAACTCGTTCATCTTGCCCCTGACCTTGGTTTGCCAATAAATTTTCACACTTGGCTTTGTAACAAGTATCCTGAGAGATTTAAGCTCGTGCAAACTTCTTATGGTCATGCCCTTGAGCTTGTCACGTGGGATATAGATTTGGCTAACAAGTTGCCAAAACGTGATGCTGCAGCATTGGATTTGATTGTGGACAGGCCGTTGAAGTTTAAGCATTTGAGACTTAGAAAGGGGATGAACATTAAGAGGCGCCACCAGGAGTTTTTGATGAAATTTGAGGAGTTGCCTGATGTATGCCCATATGAAACGAAGGCTGATGATTTCTTGAAAGAATCATTGGAGGCAGAAAAAAGAGCTTGTGCAGTGGTGAGAGAGGTGTTGGGAATGACAATTGAGAAGAGGACATTGGTTGATCACCTGACGCATTTCAGGAAGGATTTTGGATTGCCGAACAAGTTGAGGGGGATGCTGGTGAGGCATCCCGAGTTGTTTTATGTGAGTCTGAAGGGGCAGAGAGACTCTGTCTTTCTGGTCGAGGGATATGATGACAAGGGTGTTCCTCTGGAGAAGGATGAAATGCTAGTGATCAGAAATCAATTGCTGCAGCTTGTGAACAAGGGGCACAAAATGAGGAAAGAGAAAAGGAACAGTTACAAGAAGAAGGAAAAATTTGATGAGCAGAAGCATCAACATAAATCAGATGACGAAGATGATGGTGATGATGATGACTACGATTATATCGAAAGTCTGGATGACTTGTTTGATTCTGAAGATTTTCAATTCTTGGATGATGAAAGTGATGACGACAGAAGTCGGATGAACGCGCAATTCTGGGCGACTAATGCAATCTTCGAAAGTGGTATTGAAGATCCAGGGCTGTGGTAATGTTAAACAGTGAAGGAACTCTGGCTTGTGCATTTGCAACTAAAGGCATATATGTATAGTAGAAAAGTAGACACTTGTACAAATGAAAGAGTAGACTGAGGTTACTTCGCTCGTTTGAAGTAAACATGTAACTTTATGGCAAAATCAAGCACCAAAATTTGGACCCATGGTCTCATTTATTATTGTTCTCATTAGTCATTGCTATGAAGCACTCAAAATAAGGTTACAGAGATGCATCAGATATACTTCCTCCCAAAATATTTGTCGTATTTAGGATGGTGAGAATATAAAAAAAAAAAAAAAAACACATTTTTAAGTTAGGTCATTGCGAGTAACTTGTACCGTCTTGGTTGATGACGATGATAACTCATTGGTTTAGCCTTTTTGAGTGGTTGGTTCCCCACTATTTCACCGATGTGAAATTATCTTGGGATCACATTAAATGGAATTTTTTTTTTTCATTTGAACAAAGTAAAAAAATCATTGTACAACAAAACCCAAAAAATTCGTCGGGTTATCGAAATAGTGATTCAAAATTGTTATGTTACAGAATCTACATCGAATCCTGTCCTTTCAAACAGATTCTGTTTGTTAAGACTTTAAGAAAAGTCAAAATCGTTTAATAACTACTCCCTCCATTCCAATCTGAGTACATTACGTTACACGTCTTAGTTTTTTTTTTTTTTTTTTTGCTCAAATGTCCGGTGCTTAAAATAGTTAGGGAGTTGATTTTCTCACTTGAGAGGGTTGTGTTTATACTGTCGTCTCACGATGTTAAAAACAAGTCCTGAATTAATGCGCTCAATATTTCAAAATTAATTTCGTTGGCACTACTCTCTTTTTGGCCCAGTTTAGGGTCAATGCCAAACGTCCAGGACCGCATAATATCCTATTAGCAAAGGTAGGGATACTATAGTGCCGAAGATGACCCTGCAATTTATAAAATGTATAGTGTCATTAATCAGTAATTACCCAACCTAGAAAAAACAAATAGGATAATCTTTTAGTACTAAAAAAAAGAAGTGAAATTGAAGCAGCAGCTAATTTGAAGCAATTAAGTGAAATTAACTTACGCTGTGCTAAGCACTTGAGCATGTAATCCATATTCTTGGGCATAAACAAATGCAGTGAGGGCTTGTGGTAGTGCTGCCTGAAAACAACATCCCAAAAGATTAATCACCTGATAATCTTAACCAAACACTTAATCACAAGGAGAGGAGGCACCGGTAAATGTTGGAGAGCATAGTGTAAAAGCACAATAAAAAGAAGTGATTTGTAGTGCTTACTTTTTGTAGATGCTTATGGACATAATGAGAAACTTAAGGGAACAAAAAAAGGCATTCACCTACTTTTTTTCCATAAAGAATTTTAAGTTGTGCTCTCATGTACTTTCTCCGTTTCATTATTAATTTTTTTTATTAATTATATTATTTTGATACGGTAAGCTTAACATAATTTTGGGTCAAAGCGAATAACCATTTCAGGTGCAAACGAACAAATTCAAATGAAGAAAAAAATATTTACTGATTTATTGCTCCATTAAAAGCATAAAACTCTGTGCAAAGGACAAAATCACAAAATTAAAAGCCCAAAATCTAACAATTTCGTATTAGATTTATTATCGCATATTTTATCGTTTGACTATGTGGGGGATTATTTTTGGTATAGTACGTCAAGATTCATTATATGCATCTTACTACATGGAAGCATAATAGTTTACACGTAAATTATCGACGATAATAATAAGTAGGACAGAAAATCTTCCAAACCAAAATAAAGCAAGAAATGCATTTATTAATTACATATTCCAGGTGTAAGACAAATATTTTTACCTGAACCACCACGATGCGTAGGACATTACCACGCAAACCGGTGGCTAAAGCACCGATGGCGGTGGTCGCCGGTCCAACCACAAACCTCAAAACCATGCCATACAACGTTAAACCCATGCCACATGCAATTATTTTTTCTTCCAACGCCATGAAAAGCCCTGTCATGATTATTGGAATTCCGAAAACAAATAAGAAAAAACTGACGTGAATTGTTATTTACTTTGAGTAATTTTCTCCATGAAAATCTGCAAATCAGTAGAAAAGATATTCAATTTAATTGAGACATACTTCTTCTTCTACTACTTACCCATGCTAAACATAGCCAAACCAGCTCCTCCTTTTGACATTATCAAAATTGATCCTTCAATGATCTTTGGCATCCCAATATGCCACCTATATTAAACAAAATGGAGACCAACATTAAAGTAATTAAGCTTTTATTTTTTTTCCCCAAACAATCTTTTTTTAAAAAAATAAAAAATTCCCAATTTATATAAGCAAAAATGAAGAGCACTTCGTTCATCCCGATATTATTGTCCAGTCTGAATTTTACTTTTGTACAAATTCAACTAAATGTGAAATTCAAATCAGAGAATTTGGGACCGAAAAAAAAAAAGTATGTATACCTTTTGGAAATAAGAGCCCAAATGAGACCAAGAACGCAAGCATAAACATTAGGGTTCTTAGCGAGCTTGAGCAAAACAACCTTCATAATCCCCCAAAATTTAAGCCGTTTGGTCGGGGCGATGGTTGCCGCCGTGACGGAGGCGGACGTCTCCTCCATTTCAATCTCCCCTGATTCGACGTCCACCGGAGCAGTCCTGTGAGTACTGTGGATCGATTTCGATTCGCTGGCAATCGTTTTCGCGTTCCTCAATTCCAGCAAGAACAGCAAAGAAACAAACCAAAGGAGAGCTTGAATTACGGAGGACTGAATCACGAGGTCTTTTCCTTGGTTTCCGTACATGGCTTCGAGCAATGGCACTCCGAGGAGGAGCGTGTTGTTCAAACTCGACAGGGAGAAGGTGGTGATGGACCAATCCAGGCTGCCTTTCTTGCTGAAATTGGCCCAGATTACGAGGACGGCCCCGATCCCGAACTTGGCGATGACGTCGGCGGCCATGAATCGGAAATTCATCTGGTAAGGGTTGACGGTGGCGACGAATTCGAAGGTGAAGAATGGGAGGACGAAGTAGCAGTTGAACCGGTTGATGGCGTCACACTGATCCGGTTTGAACATCTGGCACCACTTCACGGAGGCGTATCCTAAGAATATCGCCGTGTACAGCGGCAGCATCGCCGTCACCACCTTGTATATTTCTTCCCCGCCGATCATGATTCTTGTAACTATTGATATCCGGCAAACGAATTAATTAACTCCGACGAAGAAGTGATTTTTCCGGTGTTGTTTTTTTTCGGAGTTTGGTTACGTAGAGGATTTGGAGTTGTGTTTTTTATTTTTTGGTTGGAGAGTTGAGAGAGATGTGGAACTGAAGAGAACCAGAGCCCGTATTTATAGCTCTTTTTTTCTTATAATAATTTATAATGAGCACGCACTTTGAACTGGCTAGCTGTAATTTTGTGCCAGCTAATTATTAATACGGAGTGAAAAACAAAAAACAAAAGCAGAATTTATACACACTGAATTAAATTAGTTTTTCGTTTTAATTGTTTTGAGGTCCAAAAGAATCAAAATGGTTTAATAATGACGTTATTTTGTCAATTTCAACGAAGAAGATGGGATAAAAAAGAGTACTAACGGGCTAACGGCATTGATGCAATGAGTATAAGATTTCTCCTTGATGGGGTATTGGGTTCAACAAGAATCGTTAATCGAACTATATATGTCTAAGCAGCATAGAAAACAGAATTGGTGATGACTTAGTCGATTAATGCTAAAATACTTATTGAAAGAATTTTGTCTATCGAAGAGACTTACCCAACTCGAATCTGGATTAATCAGAGTAAAGATTTGGGGATATCGGGCACGTAATATATAAAAAAAAAAACACTGGATCAAAATTTATGATATATATACAGAATGAAACATCATGGAAAGTGTGATGAACAAATTAAGGCGCGGCCTTTAGAAAACAATTTGCAAACGCCTCCACTTCCAGTTCAATTTTATGATGCTAGCTCTGAAACATGAAATTACTACTAATTATTTAGCAGCCAATTCCAAACCGCCAATATATATTCTGTGTTCTCCACCATGTATGGTCACTTTTTTCCCTACCCTAATGGCCATCAAGGATGGTTACTCCGTAGTCCGTACTACTCAATAACTAAGCGAGCTTTTATAAAGTTTTTGATTAATAAAATCACACTTTAATTATTTGACTGTTCCACTGTACATGGCACTAAATACTTCGATTAATAAAATCACACTTTAATTTTTGCTTTTGGGAAGGATCAATTGAATTTGCCAGCCCGTTCTATTATATAGTTTGGAAATATAATTTAAATTTACGTTTGCAGTAGAACTTGGACGACAAGGCAAGACTTACGTATACCATTTGTTTGTTCCTTTTTGACGATTAATTTTCATTAACTAAAGAATCCAAGAATTGATGTTAATTAGCTGGTGTGGACGTATTACATTTGCATTTGAACTTTCGAAGAAATTAACCGGAAAAATAAAATGTTATTGTTCTATATATGATATAAATTATATTTAGAACAAATCAGAAAATTATTTCAAAGCCCGGAACATTATCATTCTCTTCGGTTTCATGATTTTAGAGTATTTGTCTCTAAACACTTGTACACTACATTGTAACCCGTAAACAATTAACACTCATCTTCCTGCACGCGGGTTACTCTTTTTCCGTATTTGGGTTGATACAAGTATATATTAAATATATGAAGATTTTGGTCGCAACAGTATCAATTTTTCTTTTTATTTTAAAATGATTGTTCTATTTATCGTGTATTACTTCCTCGTCTATCACAACATGATTAAAGTGTTCTGTTTAAAGTGTAACAAATTCAACATTGTCACTGATATACATGTGATGAAGATAAGTGATTGTTCTTGGAGAAATCAGGAAACTATCAAATCAATGTTGTAGTTTGCAGGATTATCAGAAAGGCCCCAACTGTTTACACTTCACACTTGTACAACGCCAATCATCCAATTGATTTTTTATTTTTAGTATAAATTATATTAAAAGTGAAAATCCAAACCGTTCAATCATTTTGAGACAGAGTGGGTACTAATTTATTAATTAATGTTTTTATTTTAAAGTTTGATTATTTTGTACTTTTCATAAATCTATAAGTTCTTCCGTTTCCTAAATATAAATTGCTGATCCTTAATTAATGAAGCTGAAGCATGATATGCTAAGCATATGAAGAAGTTTGGAGTATAAACGAATAATTGAAAGTTTTGACAGTTAATTTTGAATTACAAGTTTTTTTAAAAGCAAATTAATTTTATTTTTTTGGAATATGATCATCTGATTCATCCAGACTCTAGATTCGTGTCGACATTCTCAAAGATAAATTATCTAGTAGTTACGAGAAACGTTTTGAAGGTTTTGTAGGTCCATGAAGAATGAAATCTCTCACAAAATCATTTATAATAAAGAAATTTCAACTGAAATTTAAAAAAAAAATGCAAATAAGTTTAATCCTTTTTCCCCCCCTTCAAATAGCGCATCCTACATTCAAATTATAATTGGGTCTGATTTTTATTTATTTATGTTTATTTTACCAAAGAATAATCTCTTAAAATTTTTAACCCTATTTCATATTTGAGTTATTTCTTGTTGAATATTAAAAGAGTAATAACGCGGAAGTTGTACAGCTAGGAAATTTTCTCTCGACCAACCCCTACGCCTTCCATTAGTCTAAACAAGTTGATCATTCACTATACAAGCTAAATGGATGTAGAGATAGAGGAAAACCAGTAATTAATCAAATTCGTGGATCGACCCACTATGAATTAAAAATGAAGTGCGAAAAAAAAAAAAATCCAAGAGAAAAATCATAGCTGTGTAAATTTCCACCCTTGATTTTGCAAGTTGAAGAGCACGTAAACTTTTACCATATGGGAAACATTGAAATTATTGATGGAACCAGAGAATTAGTACAGATCCGACAAAATCGATTCTGTTTAAGTTTTACATTAAAATTTGCACAGTAACACGGGTTCATGAATCTTACCATCAAAAGTTTTGGTATTACAGTGGCCAACAAGAAGTGGTGGAAACAAAGAATTTACAAGTCATGGAATTATGCAATGATGAACGAATCAAATACTCTCCAAATGTTCAAGCTTAATTTCCTTGCTGCCTTTTCCCCCGACTTTTGTTTAGTATACTACTTCTCATTCTTCTGGAATCTTTTCAATGAAGTACTCCGTCCGATCCTTAATATAAGGTATTTTGTCCTATATTTAATTTAGTACGCATTTTTAATTGATTAAAAAATCTTAAAAATATTTCATAACAATCAAGAGAATACAACAAATTAAAAATATATTTTTAAGGTTTTTTCGTCAATTAAAAATGTATACTATGTAAAACTTAAGACAAAATCAAAATGTCTTATATTAAGGACCGGAGGGAGTATCTAGGTTGTAGTTAGACATACGTTTACCAAATAACACCCCCCCAACACACACACCCCATTTCTTATACTACTAAGAAATAGTATAAGAAAACCGAGGGGGTAATGCCGATGATTATTTGATTATTTCTTCTTCTTTTTCTCCTGATTTTTTTTAACGGGAGGGGGCACTGCGAAATCCGAGGTACCAAATAAAATTTGATTATTAAAATTAGGTTATTGAAGTGAAACAGTACGTCAATGGACACTCTAATTTTCATTGAAAAAAAAAATTTAAAATTATTTCATAACAATCAAGAGAACGCAATTTGAATGTAAAATTATATTTAAAAGTTTTTTTTATCAATTAAAAATACGTATTAGATAAAATTTAAAACAAATCCAAATGTTTTATATTAAGGATCGGAGGGAGTATAACGGAAAAGCAACTTTTTGGATGGGTAATTTCCTCATCAAGCTGTTTATAAAAGTCTTTCTTCTTTTTCCTTGTACAATTATTAATAACATGTATGTGATTTCCATATTGAAACCGGAATACATTAGTGCTTTAAAAATAGTTTATAATTAACTGTTGCTTGCTTCTATATATATATATATATATATATATATATATATATGTACTTGACTATTTTATGTTCATTTTTATATTGTGATGTGGAGAGGAGGAGGGATGAATTTTGAAATTTTATTAGCTTCAACTTTGATGTGGGAAGAAAGAAAAACATATGGAGCTTTGCAAATTTTACCAACCTATAATGTATTGACTTGCATTCCTATTAATGTCCCTTAATTGATATCGTGGTGGAGTCAAAACTGCACCACTCACAAAGATTATGGGCTTTGTCATCCCAAATTGACAAAAGTACTTTTTGTCGTTAAATATGCCAATTCTATGTGTTAATTTTGTTGATGGTATTAAACCATGGACTTGAGATGGAAATTAATTAAGTGCTTGGCTGATTCCTTAGTGCGTTCCTTTGGAACCACGAACATCAACACGCAGATGTGGATACATTTCTCTTTTCATAACCTTTGCATATATATATATATATATATATATATATATATATATATATACACACACACACACACACACACACACTGTATTCTAATACTGCTTCAGTCATAAAATTTAATAATTTAAATTAAAAGGAGTGGAGGACGTATATGCGATTTCTCTTAAAAATATATACTGCATTTTGCTCTTAATTTTCTCTACTTATCTTCGTATCCATCTTTTTATTAAACAATTGCCTTCCAAATAAGAATATTATCTAAACAAGCAAGTAGTATGGATATAACAGTGCAAGAATACAATCGTACGTTGCTCATAAAAAATTGTAAAGATCAAAGCGAAAAACATTCGCGGAAATGAGTAATTTTTTCATATCGAAATGGACTATAATCTGGAGCTTACTGAAATTTTTAAGCTGTAAAAGTAAAAAAAAAATAAAAATTAATGTAAATACCCCTTGGGTTAATCTCATCATCGCACGTGAATAATTTCATCGAAACTGTTGTCTAGATTTTATAGCCACAGAAATTTTTGTGCATATCATGCCGATTCAAGAATATTCTCTTACTATCCGCCAAGTACTTTAGCATGTAATCCATACGATTCTTTGGCCTAAACAAATAACGTAACACATCTTGTGGCAGCTCTGCCATAGAAAAAACATACTCCCTCTTGTGGCAGCTCTACCGGGATCCCGTAATAATAAAAATTTGCTATTAATTGATAGATATGATGCACTACATCTTTTTAATAAATAAGATACTTGTGGTCCTTCATGATCTACACTTTAGTCTAGTCTTTCTGTTCTAAATTAATTTAGTGTCAGTTCATATTCCCATTCTCATTTTTAATAAAAAGTATGCTCAAAATAAAACTTCAAACTAAATTATTATTTTGCGATGGATGAAAAATAATTTTTTGATCTAGATGATGATCTTTGTCGCAAACGTAAAGTTTAAATGGATAGTACGTATGCAGTAGCGGATCTAAGATGAAAATGCACAGAGGGCCACATATAATATAAAAATAGCAAAATAAGAAAAAATATTTTCTCGATATGATAATGATTTTCACATATAATGATTATCTTGGGACGGAAGGAATATGATTTATGTCAATATTTTAACTCAATATCATTTCAAACAAAAAAAAACAAAGTAAAATTAAATGTTATGATAATTGTTTTAACATTATTAAACATTTTAGATATGCTCCTAATGAGTCTTCATCATTTTATAATATTTTAAAACCATCTCCAAAATTATTCTCATTGTCTTCCTCCTATAATTATTTCCATAACAAAAAAACAAATTTACATTTAAAATAGTCAAAACCTTAAAATTTGTAGACATATTGCATAAAATAATAA